AACCACGAGATTTCTTTAACACCATACTATATTCTCGGCGATACTCGCTTAGAAAATACCCACCGCTCCGCCTCCTAAACTACCATATGTGCCGGAGTTTGTCGTATCTGCACGAATAATAAGCCTCGAGTTCCTTTGCAGTGAAGGTAATGCAGTTTGGAGAAATGGGGCGAATATCCAACGAGTTCCATAGAACGCTTTCCTCATTCTACTGTCAGTACATAGTAATGTGCGCCTCGTCTTACTAGTTAACTGACGTATTATCGATTAGCTGCCAGCGAATATCTACGCCTCCCCAAGCCGCCCCCAAATCCTCCCGCTGTTGAACCAAGGAACCAAGAAGAAATGCTACTGCGTAGTACAAATTACGTAGCCACGCTATTAAACACTTGCGAGCGGCTTAGCACCACCCCTAGGACCCTTTGGGCATGAATCCAAACTGCTGGGAAACCTGCCCACAAGGAACCGCATCCTTCGAGTTTGCCCCCCCGTCTGATGGAACCAACCAGCGGCATACGTACCTTTTTAGCCTGGTCTACATGGCAGTAGCGTGGGTTCGTGTCACACACTGACTTGGGAAGAATTCTAGGTTAGCCTAGAATCCGATACCGACGGAAGGACGAGCTTTCTCCAAGGAACTGGACGACAGTACATGACGCCTTACCCAGCTCGACGCTCGGCAGGATTGCGCTGGGTAGCGTACATAGTACAGGATCAAGCGAGGAAGACTAGCCCAGACAAGCCAAGCAAAACTGCTAAAAATGACGTAGAGGGGTGATAAGTAGACCGTCAGAGTACTAGCCAGCACTAGATATTGCCTGCCGGTGGGTGTGATAGAACGTTCTATTGGGAGGTTGCCTGCCTGGACCTTTGATTGTGACCTGTTAGCCGCTCCTCCGGCAGGCAGCGCATCGGCGCTATTCTGGGTCTGCCTCGGCGGATAGGAGACACTGTCCGCGCCTAATTGAGATGGGTCAGAAAAAGAGGGAGAGAGGAGGGTTGGGACGATGTGGCCAGAGTCTTGGGGGAGGGTCGAGGAGGGTGAAGTCTCATGGCGCGGATAGTCTTGCGCTCATTTTGAATGCGTGGCCAGATAGATGTCCACCACACCCCGTGACGTGATGTTGGCGTTGATCAACTCCGGGTTAGGTAAAATTACCGCGGGTGATCGCCCATGTCTTGCTTTTCTAGTCGTTCGCAGCGCTTCAGCCCGTGGCGTTCCCTTCCTGGTCCTTGTCTCATTGAGCATGGCCTATTTCCGCTCTGCAGAGACTGTCACATATGGTGCATAGAAGGCTAGTATCCGCGACATTAAGTAATTAAATTTAATTATTTTCACATAGATGGTGGGACCAGCGGGTGAACAGCTACCTAGCATCTCGATAGATGGGACTCAAGCAGCCTCGAGCCCTTCTAGATGCAAAATTGCTACTCGAGAGGGCAGTGATCGCCAAGCCGTATGGCGGCGCTCACGGACACGGCGTGGGAATAACACAGATAGAACCGGTCGGTCGGTCAGACTACGGTACGAAGTAGGTATGTCGCAACTGAGTTTACCATATGCGATGGATGTATGTCCCAAAAAACCCTCTCCCACTTCCTCCACCACCCACGACAATCCGCTGCATTCCGCTGCAACCGCGTTGCAACGAGATGTGGCGCCCCACGTTTTTCTTCTGCTGATCGGCGGCGTCCAATGTCCGTGCTAGATCTCATTGCTGCTGTGCTCGATGAAGCCAACCCCACGAGACAAGCTTAAAACACACATCCACACCGGTTTAAGTGAAACCGTTATTTCTTCTCACCTTACCTTACCTAGAGGATAATGCGGGTAACCTTCTTTCCCCCCCTCCACCATGCCTCCAGCAGAAAAAAAATCTGCGCTCTCCGAGCTCACGTTACACAGTCTTATCTCACAAAATCGTTTACATGACTGGCTGGCTGTCTTACTATTTTGGCCGACTGACTGAAAAGACTGACACATACATGGAACTTTTGTAGCATTGCGTAGTTGGCTGTCACTAGTACAATGTGTATGTGATGGCAAGTACAGCTCGTATACTTAGATAATGGAATACCGGCATAACCAAGTACGTTTCTCGTGACAGCACAATGCATGTGTCCAATCCATGGATATGCCTGTCAAATCGCGGTTCACGACGTCAAAATAGACGTACCCAGAAACCTAAGTACCTATCGTGTGACACAGGGAATCTAAGACATCATATTTCATGCATGGGTATAAAACGCATAGAAGAACCATACCGGTAAAATATATGTTTCGGTCACATGGGGACAAGGTACCACGATACTATCCATGTGGAACCTGCAAACCTAAAGTACTGTTAACGCCAGATTTCGGACCATCGGTCTTAACTCTTGCCGACATTAAGCTGAGACAATTTCTCATTTCTTTTGGAGATGTGGTCACGAGTGTGGATATACACATGTAGCGGTATTCACATCTATAGAGTGGCTATTTCCGACCTCATGTACTATGTAAGTGTAATGGTGAGTTTCATTGCTCAGGCAGTACTGCTCGGGGAATCGACTTCTCACGATCTTCTCATGCCGTTCCAGCTACCAGGCAGCTCATCACCTCCTTCCCTTGTATCCCCTAGCCAATCATACTACTATATCTGTAGCGCGCTAACTCTATAGGTCTCTTTCCCGAAACTTTACCTTTCATTT